AGGCAGCGTTTCACCTCTGCCTGCACTGCCCTTTCATCTGGTTTTTCCCGATGTCCTTGCAATCCCTCACAGACCAGGGAAGCGCAACACTCTTCCACCCCATCCACAAACAAGGCTAGCCCCAGTGGAGAGCTTTCTGGCATTCTTCTCTTGACCTGCTGGTATACTGGAAATGGCCTGTTTATTTTCTGAGTCTTGGACAGCTTGTGCTATTTGGCAGTATTTTACCCCAGCCATTGTCATAGCTCTTTGAGAGGGACTTTGTTAAGTGGTATTTTAAAATCTGGATAAATTATTTGCACTGAATTACACAATAACTTTATCTCTTGTCGGCTGAAATTTCCTTCCTTGGGAAATTTTGGAAAGTAGGGCCTGACGTATTCCCTTGACTGAATATTTAGATCTCAAAGGCATTTTATGAGTCTTTGCGTAAGTCCACTCTGTCTGGGACAGATGATCAGCCATCAGAGGTGGGCTGACGCTAGCAGAGGCAATGAAATCATTTGAATCTCTGCAATGTGCCATGAGAAGAAAAACATTTTAGGCTGTTTCTCTGATGAGAGCTACCTTCCAAGTGAACATGGAGCTCTGCAAAATCACTTCCTTGGATAGTGCCTCCTTTTGGGAGCTATGACACATCTGTTGACTGTGGTAGAATGAGTCATCCCTATGGTTAGGCACATGTACAGGTGCTATTAAGATCAGAGCCCTAATAGTCTTGTTAGAAAGTGTAGTGGGTGGCATAATCTGAGAACCGGTCTACAGCACTCCTGCGTGCAAGGAGCACCTTTCAGCCTTCCGTGGAGTTTTTCCACCTTAATAAACAAATACCTGCTTTTGGTTTCCTTTCTGCTACTGCCGGCACGTCGATGTGAGCTAAAATAGCTGCACCCGTGGGTGGCAGTGGTCTAATACCCAGCCGAAAATGCCAGGGCCGCTTAGGTGTGCTCTTATTGCCAAATTAAGTACACACCCTGTTGTGTCTTTCTGAAAACCTGCTGCATCAATAATTATGTCTCTGATCTGGCACATGGCATACGTTGAGTATTTATTGCATACGCTGGGGCTGTGGGTGTACATGTAAAAAATATTTACATTCCTACTGTGCGCGCATCCTCCATGTCCTGCTCCTGCTCAGAGCCCGGGATGACACTGCATTGCCTTTAAATAGAGCTGGAGCAAACCCCATGTTGCAAAGAGACATTTAGGGAAACACAGAGGGAGCACACTGCTTTTGCGGGGCCGAGAGCTGGTCAGCATCCAGTCCACCCCAAGTCTCCGTCTGTCTCTGAGCGACACAGCTCAGGTTCCCACTTCGCTCACAAACCATCTGGCAGCAGAAACTCCAGGGAAGAGCCAAAGCAAGCAGCATTGCCGAGCAGCTGGAGGGCTGACATGGTGTGATGCTGCCTGTCCTCACCTTTATAAATGGAGGCATTTTCCTAATCACAGGATGAAGCCTATTCTGGAAAGCCTCTACCATTGGGGCTGAAGGTAGCAGAGGCTGCAGAGTCCATGACAAAGACTGCAAAGCTGGTGAGGGCTGTGACATCCTTGCTGCAACCTGTCCTTCACTGAACTGGCATAACAAAGATTATCTGCCCAGATGAGATAGCCCACGTCCAGTCTCTGTGGAAAGCAACAGTAAGAGATAGGTGCTTAAAGTGCAACATCTCTTTGATGACTGTTTCAAATTCTAAACTGGAGGATTATGTGCCAGCCCTTTTACCTGCTCTGGGGTCATCTCCTGTAAGGGTCTGCTGCTGACCCTGCCAGGCAGTGCTCCCCAGCCCTCTGTCTCCCCATGGCCCTTGGCAGCACGTGGTACTACTGCCCATCCAAGGTCCAAGACCCTGGGGCACTTCCCAGGCAGAGGGCTTTGCTCCTTGCAGGGTGCCAGGCAGCCCTTGGCCCCGCTCTCCCATGGCCACTCCATGGCTGGGTGCAGGATCTGGCCTGCCCCCCTCTGCCCAGCCCGGCCATGGCCAGTGTTCATCAGGAGAGAGCAGTGAGAGCGCCATGCTGGGCTCTCACACCCAGCACTTGAGCAACTGTGTTGGTGCCACTGTGAGGGTGCAGCTCCAACCTCCCCAGACTGCATGTGGTGCAATAGCGTCCGTACCCTCCCTCCAAGCACCGCACTCGAGCTGGGGCACCCCAAGCCATCAAAACAGCTCTCCCTCCAGTGATGCAAAATGCCTTTTATGTGGAGACATGCTCTAAGGGTGCAGCTATGGCTTCTCAGAAGTGTAGGTGCACTGGCAGGACCTGTCCCTCCATTCCTGCTCATGGCCATGCACCAACAGACCTTGCCTTCCCCTTGAGGCTGTCGGCAAAGCTGCTCACACAAGCTCTCCTTAAAGTGTCTTGGGCACCATTGATACCTTAAACTCTGAAGAAAGTGGGACTTTGCTCATCCCCCGAGGCTGGGAGGGCTGGAGTGGCTGGTGCAAGCTGGAGCGTGGCAGGTGGAGGAAGGTGGTGGGGCAGAGCCAGGGCTCCCCAGGCATGAGCCACCCACACACTCCCTGCAACAGCCCTGCTTGGGAGTGCTCCCACCCCAAGTCCTAACCTGGCCATGTGGAATGATCCGAGACATTGAAACCTCTCCTCCTGCTTAACTTCATTTTATTTTATTGGAAGAGGGCAAAGGGAGGGAGAATAGCTTTGGCTGGTGTTCCTAATCCCTTAGCTGGGTGCAGTGGAGAGACAGGGCAGGGACAAGAGGGGAAGAGACCAAGCAAAATAAAAGGGTCAAAAGTGAAGTCGGTTGACAGGAGCTGAATGGAGCCCTGGGAGAGAGGGAGGGGGGAGGTGAGTCAGAGCAGGGCAGCAGGGCAGGCATGTCCCACGTGGCTTCAGGGCTTCCCTGACTTCACTGGTCTGTGACAGTCCCCATTGTGGCACCCAGGGCCTGGGAGCCAGTTTCTGGGTGGCTCCTCCAGCAATGTCATTGCTAATTAAATACATTCTATAGGTTAGATTATTAGTTGTGATGATGTCTCACCTTTGACCATGTCTGCATCAAACAAATCAGAAACTAAGCAAGAAATCTTCTTGGGCTTCCTTGCCCAAGGCATCCTTTTAGGAGTTGGCTAAACGCTATTTTGTGAACAGCAAATCCAGCTGCTACTTGGCCATGCAGTTCTGCTGCAGTACTGTATGCTCCCAGAAATTCATAGGGCTCAGGATTTAATTTGTCTCAGTGAAGGTGGTGGTGCAGTGGCAATCCTGGAAAACAAGAACAAGTACCAGTTTCCTCATTCCTGAAGTTAATGCAGCTCATGCAGCCTCTCCAGGGAAATCCCTGTTTTCCTGGTCAGCTTCCTCAGTCTTCCTAATCAGCAATCCTCTGCCCTCAAGATCCTTCCACACCTTAGTACATTAAGAAAATTAATGCCTTACCTTTTAATGAGAGATTTCTACTTTTCTGCTAAAACCTGCTCTTTTTTTTTAATCTTCATTTTTATCTTCTTTCTCCTCCGAGACTCTGTGTATGTAACAGAAACGCGTTTGTGTCCTGTTTGTCAGACGCGAGAACTGTTTTCTTTCTGTGCTGTTACTGCATCCAGGCTGTAAGGGGGGCTAATCCTTCCTGGGATTACTGTGACACACAGCCATACCTGGAGAATCCCTTATCCCAGTGTCTGGCCCCAGGCTGATGTGGTGCTGGCACTGGACAACCCCCAGCCAGGCAGTCATCGTGTTGCAGGGTCCGAAGTTTGGGTTGAGCAATGCCTCGCTCCCTGCTGGGGAGAGGCTCATCCTCGGGGTATGGGAGCAGTCCAGGGGACACACACCAGACATATCCTGGCAGATGGTCTGTCCCCACCTCCTACCCCTCAGAATGTCGTTCCTGAGGGTGCTGCTGCCTTTGCTGCCCACCCTGGGTGGAGGCAGCTGGCGGTGCCTGGTCCACAGCCTTGCTTCCTGCCTGGAGACTGGGCTTGGTTGTCTCGGCACTATCTGCTGGTGAAATAAGAATTACCTCTCCCTCTGTCCTCCCCTGAGCAAAGTCAGCAATCATAAACAAGGCAAAAAACAGTGCTCTATGGACTGGGCTGGGCCCCATCTGCTCTGCAGCTACTTCTGGCTCCCTGGATGGGGATGGTGTTTCTGGTCTCCCATATTTTCATCTTCAGGCATCTCCGCATCTCGTTCCAACTCCTCCTACACAAAATGGGGGAACTGCCCACAAATGTGTGCAAAACTACTTAATTACTCTGTAACCGACTGGGCTGCTGGTTGCTGGTGGTGCTGATTATTGTGTTGACCATGATGCCTTCGCCCCCTCTTCCCTTCTACCCCATCTGTCCCCATCACATCCTCTCCAGCTGCGCCTCCTCCTGCACAGTGCCTGGGGGCACCCAGCACTTGTCCAAACAGACCCCTGCTGCTTGGTGGGCTGGGTGATTCAGCCCTTGTTCTCCTGGTGCTTCGTGTCCCAGGTGCACGACTGGGTGTCCCAGGACCATGCCTGGGTGCCCTGCGCCATTGATGAATGTACCGGGGCCATGGCTGGGTGTCTGGGGGCCGTGCCCTGAGCCACTTCTGAGTGTCTTGGGGCCGTTGTTGGGTGTTCCAGGAACGTGGCCGAGTGCCCTAAGCCATTGCTGAGTGTCTTGGGGCTATCGGGGCTATCCCAGGAGCATCAGTGGGACGCCCCAGGACCACGGCCGGGTGTCCTAATGTCATTGCCGGGTGCCTCAGGACCCTCGGTGGGCGTCCAAGGACCGCGGCCGGGTGTGCCGGCACTCCAGCTCCACCGGCGGTGCGCGGGGCGAGGCGGGGCGGTCTCTGCCGAGGCCCCCTCGGTGCGGCGGGGGGTTCGCGGCCGGTCCCCGCCCCGCCCCGCGCCGCACCGCCCGCCCCGCTCCGCCCCGCGCCGCCCGCCCCGCTCCGCCCCGGCACATTCATGCGGCGGCGCTGGGCGCGGGCGGCGGCTCCGAGCGGCCCCGGCGCGGCGCCTCCCGCCGGGCCTCGGCGCATGTGAGCGGCGGAGCGGCAGCAGGGCGGCGGCGGCGGCGCCGCATCGGCCATGCGGTGGCCCCGCGGCCCCCGCGGCGCCTGGCGGCTGCTGCCCAGGCGCTCGCTGCTGGCCGCGCTCTTCCTCTTCTCGCTCTCCTCCTCCTTCCTCTACTTCGTCTATGTGGCGCCGGGCATCGGTAAGCGGCGGGCCGGGGCCCGGGGCGGGGGCGCGGGGACGCGGGCACGGGCACGGACACACCGTCTGCCGCTGGAAACGCTGAGTAATCCGCGCCCGGCCGGCTCGGGGGCCGCGGCATCCCCGGCTCGGGGCGGCTCGGGCCCGGCGCCCCCGGCTGCGGCTCCGCGGAGCCCCGGGCTGGGCGCTGGGCATCGCGTCCCCGGTGCCCCCCGGCGTGCGGGTCCCCCCGGCGTGCGGGAGCCGCCGGCCGCGCTCCCCGCGGCGCTGCCGGGCTGGCGGGGCCGGGCGGGGGGCAGCGAGAGCGCTGCCTGCCCGCCCCGGAGTTTGTTTTGAAGAAGTGGAGCGTTGTCCAAATGCTTGTGGTCTGAACGTGCTGCCTGGCGGAAATCCTACACTTTTTGTCAAGTGGGAAGATGAGAAGTGTGTGTTTTAGAAGGCGAGCGTACTCGTTCCTGTGTTCCCTGTCATAGCTTCGTGGGGTCTCGAGAAGCCGTTTATCAATAAGGCCAGCACCCGGTGCTGGTGGGGCTGTGTGGCCATCTCCCACGAGATACGGGAAGACTTGTGCTCAGAGAGCATCTGTTCCCTTCATACATTGTAACTAATTTCTGTAAGGAGCCAAGGCTCGCGGTTTGGCCTTCAACCAAACTTTGGCAACAATTTATTTCTATAGAAACAGCCCTTTCCAAAGAAATTGTTTCTCCTTGAAATGTCATTGGTATTGCTCATGCCACTCCTAGCTTGGACATCTCAAGGAGACCTCTGTGTGTTTTCAAGGTGACTTCTGTGGGTTTTTATTTACAGATGGTGTCCCGTGGCTGCCACTGGGCTTTGGGAGCCTTTCCGAGGGCTGAGTAGGGGTTGGCTGGTGTGCGAAGCCCAGCTCATAGGGCTTGTGACCTAGGCACAGCCTGAGTGAGGCTCTGCATGCTGGGCTTTGCCACAGTGGCCCAGGGCTTTGCTGTCCCCCAAGCTCCTGGCCACTGTCCCACAGGCTTGCCAGGGCTGCTGAGCCACTGTCTTGCATCTGTTGGAGGAGTTTCCACTGGTGTTAATGTGAGGTGCAGCTGCTCCCTCTGGAAGCACAGCCTGGCTCATCCCATTCATGTGCTGCCATGGGGCTGGTGGCCGTTTCATCTGATGCCTCAGGCAGCCCTTTATAGGGCAGGCACAGGGAATGTCTTCTCCTGCAGTCATGGCATGGCTGTGGATGGGCTTCTCCAGGCCCAACTGGAATAGCTGTACCGTTTAAGAAAGAAACTTCTCTTGGAAGGATGGTTTTGTTCCTTTTTTAGAGTGTTCTGATTCATCTTATGGTGCTTCTGCATGGTCACCCATCCTAGAGATGCTGGAGTTGCTATAGGGTATAACATGCTGTTTAAAACTGGCTATATGCCCAGAGGGCTTTCCCTGTGCAGACATTGGATAACATGGTCATGTCCCACCCAATGTTCTTGATACCTGTGGTGCCCCAAGAGGAGGCAGAGAGGTGTTAGTGGTCCCTGTCCCCACCCACCCATGGATGTCAGTGATGTTCTGAGTCATCTACTCATCAGGTGACAGAAGAACTGCTTCCTTTTTTATTTTTTTTTTTCCTTCCTCTTTCAGCCAAAAATGTTCCATCATGAAAACCCAGCCCACTATTCCCAGCATGGCTGGGCTGATCCTCCCAGCACTTGGAGGGAGTTCATTTTCAGGCCAGAGTGGTGAGGAAAAGCTTGGAAGAAGAACAAGTGAGATAGGACTTGAGCAGAGCTGGGGATTTCAATGAATGGTTGGTGTGTGGGTGATGGAGAGATGCTGTCACTAGGGTATTCTGGGGCCTTTGTCCTGCCTGTCGCCACCTTGGCGTGCCAGGGTGGAGCTGGTCTGGCTTTCTGTGGCCATTGAAGGGCCTGGGGATGCCTCTGCCCAGAGAACATCCCTTGCAGGGCATGCTGGGGAAATGGCTGAAGAAGAACTTGCTGTTCATTGGCTAAACCAGGGGCAGGAGAGCGATTAATCCATTCCTTGATTGTACCTCATTTGAAAAGAACAAAATCCAAATAAACGGGACCTAAAGCTGCAAGTGAGCTTGAACCAGCTGGAGCTTGGAATGGCTGCAAGAGCTTTTGTCTGCCCAGTGCCAAGGGCTGCTGGGAAGGGTCTGCTTCAACCAACTCTGCTCATGGGGGTCAGCAGCTGGAGCCACCCTGCCCTGTCTGGGCTGCGTCAGCCCTCTGGGCTGGGAACAGCCCCATGACAGGACAGCATCCCCTTGGCAGAGTGTGCTGTCACCATGGGTGGAAGCCTGTCCTGAGGCCCCACGTTTGAGGGGGAAAATTTCATCGGCATTGCTGAGGCATGTTGTGTTTGAGCAGTTGTGCGCCAGTGCCAGGAGAAAACTGGGACAGTTGCAGTTCTGGGTGCTGTCTCAGCGCATTGGTGTGGAGCTGGCATGCTTGCCGGCTGGAAAAGCTGGATAACTGCTCTTGGTGCCCTTTGGGGGTAGGAAAGGGAGCCCACCATGGGTTCTGAGGTGCCTGCCACCTGACTGACACTGGTGTTTGGCTCCTCACAGCCCAGGTAACCCTGTCTGCTGCAGACGGAAATGCAGGAAGAAATTCGTGTTTACTGTCAGCAAATAGCCATGCTTGGTCCCTGCAGGGAGTCCGGGGCTTTTGGGGCTTATGTTTGTGTTGTGCCTGGATTTATGTGATGCCTAGGGTAGCTCCTTGTTTCTGTCCTTCACCAAGGTTTCCTCCTACGGAACTGAAATGTTCTTGTGGCCTCAAGTTTGTGCGGAGTGATCCAATGTAAACAGCCAGTGCTGCCTTCTTCCCAGCACTCCCATCCAGTACCCGTCTGTCCTCCCCCACGCCACCCTGACAATTAAATGCCTGGGCTCCCACAGCCACCTTGGGAGGTGGATTGCCAGGGACCCAGCTGATGGCACAGATACAGCAGGCTCTCCTTGTATTTGACGCTGTTCCCTGGCGCTCGCTGGCTCTTGTCCCTGCCGTGGCTGGGGTGATTATGTGGGTCTGTCTCATCGTGGCCATTGTGTGCGGGATGAGGCGGCCGATTGTTCTGCTGGCGGTGAGCTGGGGGCGAGCCGGGGTGAGGCACTGGCAGGGCTGGTGGGGATGCAGCGCTTGGAGGCTCCAGGGGATGCTCTCGTATCCACACCGGTCCCACTGCCAGGGAGGCCCTGAGAGGCAGCAGGTACACGGCGATGTTTGTGCGGGTGGGGAGGCCGCTTGTGCTCGTGCTGAGGTCCTGTGAGCAGCAGGCTGGGCTTCGGCTGGAAGAAATCCCACTGGCCCCATCCTTGGAATGAGGAGAGCTTGGCACCAGGTGAACAGTTTTGTCCTGTTCTGGAGGCCAGCGGGCACCTCGCGGGTTTTTTTGCACGGCTTGTTCTTGGCACTGGGGCTCTTGCCTGTCTGGGACCAGCTGCCCTTCGTGCCTCTTGCCTTCTCCAGATGGGATGTGCAGAAATGGGCTTTCCAGACTTACTCTGTCCATGCCCAGATCCCAGTGTTGGAGCAAGGATAACGCAGGTGCCAAGAGTGTGCTGACTTGGAGGTGAAACACCTTGAGAAGCTGTTTCTGTTTAGTCCTAGCTTCTGCCTCTGAATTCATCCATGGGGTTGTGGGTCCTCCTGGGAGCTGGGCTCAGTCCCTGCCTGTCCTGTTTTCATGTAGTGGTGGCTCATATTGTTTTCCTAAAAGTATCTGGTTTTATGCTTTTTGAACAGGGCCTAGGAAATCAAGGGAATTCCTCCTGCAGTTGAAAGCAGAAATGCTTTTCAAGCTGCTTGCACTACAAGTTGCTATTTCATACTGAAAACTCTTGCTGCAACAGTAGGAATTTCTCAGACCTTAGACTTGGTCCTGGTGGAGAGGGCGGGCGGGGCTTTCCCTGGTGCTCTTGGCTTTTCCCTTGTTGTCTCCAGACGCTGGAGCCTCTTTATTTAATATTTTTTTTTGTTTTTAACTTAGTTTTGCACAGGATTAGTACTTGGTTGGATCTGATGCAGGAAAATAATGCAGAGAATTTAAATTATTGGGTGAAAGATTGTTACCTTTGTGAGAGAGCTGTAATTCAGTCTGGCTTTACTTCCTCAAGACTTATCAGGAGCTGCTCCCGACCGGTCATACGGGGCATGAGGTAGCACCATTAGCCCTGAATTACATTTGTGGCGCAAGAACTTGATTTTGATAGGCAGGAGTGCTTTGAAACACCGTTCTGTCACGCTGTGTGTCGGTGACCAGCAGAGTAACGCCGTGGGGACCAACAGCTGCCTTGGTGCACCTCGTTTGTAGCTTTTGGTCTTTGGAAGAGTGTTATATGGCCAAAGGTGGCTGATCCAGCGTGGTTATTTAATGCATCAGCCTGGCAGATCCTAGCACAGAGGAGTTCTGGGGGGGGATGAATGTCAAAAGATTTTTCTTGTCCTGGGTGGAGTGACCATGGGACAGGAAAGTGTTTGAGTTGCCCGTGGTGGTGAGGAACAGAGGAAATGTTGGTCCCAGACAGGGGGATGGCACTGTGGGGACATGGAGCTGGGGCTGGTGAGTCTGGGTAAGGGGAGTGAGGCTGTGTGTGAGAGTGAGGTTGCTGCTGCTTTTGCCTTCTGTGCACTTCTGGGGGAATGTGGGCAGAAAGAGCCTGGTTAGAGCCAGTGCCAGTGGAGAGGAGGGCAGAAGGGGGATGGCAGGGCAGAGTCCCGAGGGAGGGGCAGGGAACACTGGCCGTGGTGGGGTGCTGGTGCCCAGCTTGTCCAAGGATCACAGTGGTGAGCTGTGGTGGCTTTGGCTTGGCTGGGCAGAGGTTGGGTGCTTGTTGGGTGCCTGGACACTGCCTGAGCAGGGGCAGAAGGTGAAGGTGCAGCCCAGAATAACGAAATGAGGTTTGTGCTGTCATAGCTCTGGCTTTCATCCCTAGGTCTTCCCCCTGCAGCTCAAGGGACTGTGTTTTACTATGGAACACCAGCAGTGCTGCCCTCCTTCACC